CGACTCCAGAGCCGAACAGCAAAAGATTCGATGCGGCCTGACCGTATCCATCTCCCGTGCCCCTGCGCACCCGTGATCCACACTAAATCATCACACCCTGCCTCCGATACATAACAAGCCTCTGCACATCCTCGTCAACTACCCATCCTACTGTATCCAACATACTCCGTCAGCCCCACTCCTGACAACTATGCAACCACACCCCCACAACCCGCCCACGCCAGCTCCTCGTCAGCCCGTCCCCGCCTCATCAACCACACCTCCCATCGCCCTCATGTGCACCCCTCACCGACACCGCCATCCCTTCACTGTTGCCCACTCCAACGACTGCCCTCCGACATCACGCTACCCACGACACACCTACAACCCGTCACGTTGCTTCCGAACCAAAACCTACTGCTACTACCCCATTCCAGCACCCCCCCCCCTCTGTGCCACCCTCTTCGCCCCTCCCCCCACCATCTTTCCAGGTCGAATACTCACGCTGGAGCTCCTGCGGCTGGTGCTGCCGAGACCGTTGCTGGAGCTGGAGCAGGAACCGGAGCTGGAGCTGGAGCTGGTGCAGCAGGTGGCGCTGGCGCGACCATCGGTGCAGGGCTTGTCGCCGGCCCTGCAGGAGCCTGAACACCACAACTTCAGCTAACTCACCCACACCTATCCACATCCACATTCCTCTTCACGTACCAAACACCCGCTTCCGACTGCTGCTGCCTACACCCTTCCCCACACCTACAACGCCCTGCATTCCACTATCAATACCACCTCTCACCACGCCCCGCCCCGACTGGTCAGTACCTGCGCGGACCCCGACGACGACGCGGGCGCACCACCCGATGCCGGTGCTGCTTTCGTCTGCCCCCATACACACACACACACGCACTGTCGCTTCAGTGAACCGAACACACATGCACCGCACCATCCCTAACCCATCACACCCTCCACCCAACCAACGCAACCCACCCCAACCCCGCCAGTGTGACCACACACGCAGCTGTGCTCCCAAGCACCTGGCAACGCCCCCACCCCACTCCGCATTGTCAACGCCACGGCCAAACTTGCACATCCACCCCACACATAGCCCGCGCCGGCACCCAACCCCTACCTTCGTCAACATCACCACCAGGAAACCATTCTCTGCCACCTTGTTATCCGCCATGGTCGTCTCATCCTTCAGCACCTTCCCCTGGTGAATCAGCAGCTGCTGCGCGCATGGAAAAGCGTCCTTCCCTTGGGACCCCTCTATCTTCCTTTTCACGGAACTAACCTGCGCACAACACACGCTGTCAACCACTTTGCATGCCATCGCAATCGCGACCGCCCCCACACACATGCCCACTTCCCCACCTCCGCAACCAACCTGCGTGGTTGCACGGCCCAGACACACTACCACAACTCCATCGGACCTCCACCGACGCTAGGTCCTGCTGCTCAACCTTTGACGACAGCCCACAAGTCGGGCCCACCTGCCGGAGTGTACATCACTGCCCAATATAACCATTCAAATACCACGCGCAGATTCCTCATCGCCACAACCAACCCCTCCACGTCTTCCATGCTTGCGCGCACTTCACATCGCGCGCGACCCACAACTATCTGACGTCACCCATCGCACACGCTCCCACAATCCGGCACCGACATCAACACAACACGTTCCTGCCCCCCTGCTCTCCAGAAATTGGACCCACGCACCGCCGTCGGACCACGCAAATGCCCACAACCATGCACGATCCAACACCAGCATCCACTCCGATACACCCCCTGCGATCTACCAAAGAATTCGCCAACCAGAGAGGATGCCGCTAACCATCGCCCGACCCCAAATTGCCTCACCTCAATGCTACCGCCACACCGCGACGATCAATTCACCAATCAAATGCCTCATCACGTGCCACCCCAGCACCTCGCACACTCAGCTCCACATACCAACACCACGTGCCACCCCAGCGGCACCATCGGACGCGCCACAACACCCAAAATACCATACAAACACATAAAATGCGCCAGAACACCCAACTCAAGCTCCGCTCGATCCCACGCACCCAACCAACCCGACCATCGACCACCGACCACCGCACCCACTGACTCCCACATCCACGACGCAACAAAAACAAGCCACCCCCCCCGACTAGCTCCCACGATTCCACACCCCACCCTAAAAACCGCACGCAGCAGCGCACCGGGCACCGCGAAGGAGTATTTACCAGCTCATCCTCCGCGACTTGCAGATCAAAGTGGTTCCCCTTGAGGGTCTTCACGGAGATCTTCATCGTGCACCGATCCAAGAGCTCCGAAGCTCAAACGTCCACGCACCCCACAACCGGCGAACGCTGCTAAAGAACTTCTAGCTGCTGCTGCTCCTCGTCGTCCTCCTCCTCTTCCTTTGACACCACCACCACCAACGACAACAACAAGAACAGCACGACGTGCAATTCCCAGCGACGGTGTTGATCCTGCCCTCTTCCTCCAAGCCCTAGCTCTGTCTCTCTCAGACAGTTCCTCGAGCAGCACACAAGGCGAGCTCGTTCCTTCCTTCGGGCCGCTGCCCGTTTCCGACCCGGTCAGAGGCTCGTCAGGCCAGCCCTTGGCGGTGGCTGGATTGTGGCTGCCCAAGTTCTTGCTGCCCGGCTCTCGTTGCGCCTGCCTTCCATTGGTCGTCTCAGCCAGACTGGATCCCTTGTTCTTTGCACTTTCCTTAGCATTGGGCTATATTTGCTGGTTGTGTCTTCGGAGGCTGTTTCGATCTTTTTTACATACTCTCTCTTACTTTGCAGTCATGTTTTGATTATTAAAGGTCGTGAATTTAATAGTATACAAAGGGTCTATTCATTTTCCTTGGTGAACTTTTTAATCCGGTTGGTTCTTGTACTTGTCTGTTGGTTTTGCTTTTGTAATTTGTTACTTTCAGGCCTTATTATTTATTTATTGTGTGATATTTTTAGATATTTGTTGAAAGAATAATATTTTTATGTATATATATTTATATATATTTATATATATAGAGAGAGAGAGAGAGACCCTGTATATGCAATGAAGGTTTTTAGATAAATCAAATATAACTTGGATAAGAACATTAAATTTATGTATATATATATATTTATAGTTGATTTTTAGTTGATTCAAATTGACTTTATTATTATAAGAAATTATCAAGGTAGGAAAATATAGCTTTAATTTGATATTAGTATTATAAAAATATTATAGTAATTTTTGGAATTTATTTAAAATTTATTTTTAAAAAATTAAAAAAAATTAGAAATAAATTTAAGATTTTGATAAACTTATGTTTTACCACCTTGGTAGCTATTATGAAAAAGTGCAACAAAATTTGAAGACTATACACAAGTTTAATTTAATTGGTGTTTATAAATACCATGAAAAAGTCAAAATTACAAAAAAGAATAGTATTATTAATAAAAAAATATCAAAACCAAAAGCTAGTGTAGTCTTTTTAAAAAATGAGATGCATAAGTCCCATATGAATTGTAGCACCTTGGATATAGGTAGGAAAATAAGACTAAGGCCTTGAGGTGCCCCTACAACAACTGTAGACACTACATGTTAGCCTTGATGAGGCTTTAACTCTTAATCTATAAGTAAGTTATTCTTAAGAAAAATATTTTCACTTAATTTTTTGATTATTTACTTGTCACATTAAATATAATAAATAAAATTTATATATTTTTTATGTAATTAAAAAGATAATAAGATTATCTATCTAAAAATATAATTTTTTATTTTATTTTTTAATTGATAAAAATCTAATTATTAGATTGTGACTTAATTTTGAAATAAATGATTACTTAATTAAATTGCTTTCACTTATTTTGTATTTTTTTCTTTTTGTCTTCTTTTTATTTTCTTGTTTCACTTTATACCAATAATTACAAATAAATTTTAATTTATACTATCTTCTAATTTAGATTGAAAGATGAATTTTATCCTCATATAAATGGTACATTTGTTGGGAGGTGGTACTAATTGTCTATGTGAATGTGGAATTAATATGTTATAATTGATCTTTTGGTTGGTCTTTTTTAGTAAGCATTTCAAGATAATTCTTCATCATTAACAAGTCTTTTACTTCTCTTTTCCATTAGCATAAATAAATCATATTGAATTTTATAGTCAAAACATAATTTTAAAAATTCTATTATTAAGTAAAGAGTTGAATTGATTTGAGATTTTCATCAATCAATTTTTATGTGTTAGACATTTTACTATGAATTTAGACTTGGATAAGTCTCATGTGCTCTAGTTTTACTTCCAACATTATTTGGTTCATGTCCTTTATAATGGTGTGACATCATTGCACAAATTATCTGATCTGATTGCATCCAATGCTTAAGTTACTCGAGCTACAAAAACATATTTACCTAGTATAATTAGACAAATCATGTGATTTTATAGAGTGTTGTATTTTGAATAGAAGTTTTTATGAAAATATTTTATAAAAATGTGTTATAAAAAGTAATAGATAAATAAGTTGCTGCTTAGTGGCAACTATCTCCTTATAACAGAATTGATGAAGAACATTAAACTGTAGAGCAGAAGACAAAGTGGATTGAATCTCAAAAACCAAGATCCACAATTTGGTGGATTCTACAATATGCTCAAGGTGTGACATTCACAATTATTAAAAACTTCATAAATAGAAGATTTGATCTTCTTCGAATAGTTCGTTGAATTGATGCTAGAGCTAGTAGCTAAAAGAAGCAACAGCATTTTGTTTTCACAATAAGGTCTTTGATTTAACGAACAATTGAAATTGAATGAAAATTGAATTTGGATGAAAACTGTGATTGGATGGAATTAGGTTTAAGAGTAGATGAAGAATATTTTGGATGAGAGTTAAAATTGGATGAACTTAAATTGTGGGTGAAATTCCATCTGCAGATGAAAATTTTTACTTGAATGATTTTTTATTAATAAATAAAGAATAATTAAAAGTATATAAAATTTCCTAAATTTTCTTAATTCGGCAAAACAAATCTTTTAAAATGTTTGTTTAAAGATTTGAGAACTTTGAATTAATTAACATTATATGTACAGGTGTTTGTGAAGGTTAATTTTTTAGTGATTAATGGAGGTAATTCCTCAAAGAAGATGAAAATTCAACAACTAGTAGAGTTTAGGCCTGAGTTTGCACTAACCTAGTCGCATCGCTCCAATCACCACTGCACTCAGCCTTAACCTCACTAACACTACGACAAGCTTGAAGTCGCAAGTACAGCAGATTCATAGGAGAGACTACGGGCAGTGTCAAAAAAATGAGCCACGCCTTCCTCAGGAGTGCCCACAAGGACACCGTGACCTAGGTTAAGAATATGACCATTAGTTCCCGCCTTGCTCACCACACTGCGGACAAAAAATTGCACTGATTAGAAACCATGGGTATCAATATGTAAATGGATGCAACACTTTTGAACACAGAGGAGGATCTCCAAATGACAGGCGTGATACCTTCTATAAGTTTGAATTGGTGACACTTATTACTTGAAAAAATTGAGATACCAAAAGCAATCACACGTGCAAGTATAAAAGAAAATACGAAAATAAACATAAGGAACCTTTCAATCGCTTCAGTAATTGCAGGTAATGGGGCAAAGAGAACAGCTGGGTCCACATTGCCTTGCACTGCTATCGAGTCCCCGAGTCGTCTTCGCCCGTCTGCCATATCTATAGTCCAATCAAGTCCTATAACGTCAACATCAACTGTAGCCATCCTCTCGAGCAAGCCGCCGTTCCCGTTTATGTACATCACCAATGGTACCCCCGGGCAAGCGTCTCTCACCTTGGCCACAAGCTGGAAAAGAAGACTAGAAGGTCAGAGCGGTGGCCGAGAACAATGCTCAAAATTTTAGCAACGACATGCACTTTATCCGAGCCTTGAATTGGTAAAATATGCGTTATCTGTTCTTTGAACTCTAAGAAGATAAACGAAAAAAGGAATAAAATATGAATACAAGATGCCAATGAATTTACACCTGCTGAATATAGGGCTTCGACCACTGATCCCACTGGTGAGGAGGAAGCTGCCCACCCCAAGAGTCAAAGATCTGTATACATTGTGCACCAGCTTTGACTTGGAATATAACGTACTCAGCAATCTCGTTTGCCAAATGGGATAAAATAGACTTGAGCAATTCTGGCTGTTGATGTGTCATGCTCTTGATCTTTGTGTAAGTGCGGGTGGTCTTCCCTTCCACAATGTACGTGGCCAAGGTCCATGGTGAGCCTACAAACCCTAACACTGCTGCTCCATCGCCCACCTATGAAGGGAGGAATGAGAGCAAGATGAGAAAGGAGTAAATTCTCTTTTCTTTGAAAAATAAACCCTTCACCTATTCTGGCGAAAATAGAAAGAAATTAAATATGGCCCTCAATGTAGAAAAATCAGTAGACAACGGGACTATACCTCTTCCCGCAAGATGCTGAGGGACTCCCCTACAAAGTTGACCTTGTCGAGATCAATGGGGTGAAGAGCTTCCAACCCCTCCTCAGACACAATGGGTGTCTCAAGAAGTGGCCCCTTCGCTTCGTCAATCTCAAATGGGATACCAATTGCCGGAAGAGGTGTCAGAATATCCGAAAATATTATAACTCCATCAGGTCGGAACGCCTTCCAGGGCTGCAAGGAAATCTCCACTATCAAATCCACATTCTCAGACCTCTCTCGAAACGAGGGATGCTTCTCCGCAAGCTTTCGATACACAGCCATGTACCGGCCCGCCTGCCTCATCATCCATGCTGGGGCACGCTCTACTTTCTCCCGCCTAGCCGCCCTCACCAGCAAAGGCTCTGCAAATTAATCTAAACCATCATTCGCCACGAAAAAACCCACCTCAATCCGACACAGACTATCACAGCGACCACCCACAAATTGGTATCACTCACATTCCGACAGTACAATGGCGAGCAAATTGAAACAAAAAAAGAGCATATGTTACGAATGTACCAAATTAAGGCACAGACACCCACCCACATGTCTCTCCACCGACTCAGCCACACAATGCAATGCTTCGCGCCGGGTTGGCACAAGGTGCACTGACGCCCGCGGGGCTTTCAATCTCTCCCCGGCAATCTCACTGCCGCTGCTGCCAGGCAAGGCAAGGCTGGAGCTCCCGAGCACACCAAACTGGCGCAGAGAGTGGGCCATAGTGGCCTGCGGCGGTAGTGCGAGGATTCAAGCGCAGAAGGTCGACAAATTGCAGCTGCACAGAGACATGAGGCACGAGAATTGCGAAGGATGGGGAGGAATTGTGGCGGGGCGGGGGAGCGGAGGGGATTGCGAGGTGCGCAGATTGGCTCTTCCCCGGGGCCTTCCTATCCATTCCCACTGCCGTATCCTCGTCAATGTTTTCAAGTTCTTCGTCGTTAGTCTTCGTCATTTGTTTTTCGTCCAACTTCGTCGGTCACCGTCAATCGTCGTCGTTAGTTGTCGTGTTCGTCGCAAATCGTATTCCATTGCCACCTTTACACCCCTACTACTTTTACTTTTCTAATTTAAGCTCTGAATATTTCGATGTGATAATTTTAACATATAAAGAATATGTATATATATATATATATATATATACAAAAAAAGAAAGAAACACATTTACCAGATAATGGAGATTGGAAGAGAAGTTGAAGTCTACATTAAATAACATGTTTTTGCAATAATCTAAATAGAATCATTAATTAGTTATCTATTATGGGATATCATAAGAATTTAATTTTCAATAAATACATGTGTAATTTATTTATTAGGATCGTCTCTTCTCTCTTTATCTATATTTACAACCAATTAAAGATATATATTGTGGAACATTTGATTTTAATGTCAATGTTAGAAATTTTTTATATGGTTATATTTTTATCATTGATGAAATAAATTTATATTAAATAAATTAATTTCAAAAATATATTTATTTAAAAATAATGAATAATTTTCTTTAGAACTTAGGTATAGATTTTTAATTATTTAAAATCATTCATATTTCATACAAGCTTATAATTACTTTCAATAAAATGAAATATATATTTTTTAAATATAAAATTAATAAATGATAATAAGAACTTATATATATTAATAATTAGTGTAAATTTTATTTTAATAAATATACAAATTTCACCAAAAAACTCATCGGTCAAAAATCATCTTATACTCAAAACAATTGCTTGTTAGTAAAACATCTCTTTGTATATAATATTAATCATGGATGTTATATTTTAGCAATAAATGAAGATATTTCTAATGCTTGTAGTCCACAAAAGAATAATATATTATTAATCATAGGTAAAAATAAGTTTAGAAAGGTATAAACCAATTGTTGCTATTGTTTGTCTTTAAACATAATTGATTGTGATGACAAAGATTAATTGAAGCAAGAATTTTTGTTGTATGAGCATAAATGGATATTTTTTCTTTAGAGAAGATGTAATTATTTAACAAATATTAGCTCTCTTGCTTATAATTACACTACCAAAAATCTATGAAACTAGCAAATTGTATTCAACATGAACAATTACTATTGGCTTAGTATTACAAAGGCCAACTAATACATCCACATTGTACAATTAGATACACATACACCTTTACTTAATATCAACTTATAAATAGGCATAACAATTGAATTAAGGGTGTTGATGAACTCTAATACATAAGCCATTGCTTAGTGTCAGGGACAAGAACTCGATGAAAGCTAAAGAGTAAGTGAGACTTTTCTCAAAAAGAAATAGGACAAAATAGAAATATGTATATTAAGAAAGAAACTGGAATGGCTATTGCCAAAATACAAGAAAACTAGAGACCCTTGAAACTAGACTAGAAGCAAGAAAGGAGTTGACAAGAGTGAAGAGGGCTTCACTCTTGCCTCTATATATACTATCTAACTAGAAGCCACGTGGCGATGTTCTATAAGACCTCCAATATATGTTGACTTTCTAGGCCACATGCCTTTGCTTGCAAGGCAAGTTTTCTATGGACGGACCACGTAGTTAGCTTGTTCTTTAAGCTTCCAACATGCGTGGCACATGGCTAACTTGTTGACCAAGTTTCTAACCTAAAAGTCAACTATAGACTCCTATAAAGTCAAAGCAGCATCTATGAAGCTTCTAAGAAGCTTCTCTAGAAGATATTACACAATTAACCTACTTTTACATACTTTTATCTATTCATATAGGTAATTATATGTATGTCCGTGACATTACTCCCCCTTCTAGGGACGAGTTCCATGAGGAGCGGTGATTATATATTGAGAAAATCTAATATGCGGCAAATTGTATTTGCTACATACTCTGATCTTTGTTCTCTTCGAAGATAGTTGATGGGTCCTCTTAGCCATCGATAGTGTCCTATTCCAGGGCGAGAAGACCACCCTGTTATTTGATCACTGTTGAGGCCTTCATAACTTCCTTCAAATAATACATTTGAAACACCATCAGGAGTCGTTCCTATCTCCAATAATATCACCAAACATCGAGAATCTCTTCCAAGGTCGTGATACCAAATGCGTTGTATCTCACCATCTATTCGAGGAAGAACATGTCGTTCTTGAGGGTCTTCATTTCGGTTGCGTCGTCTTGAAGGTTGTGACAATCGCAATGTCTCATCCGGTAAGTCAGCAAACGAAGGTTCTTGAGTTGAATCCGCTGGTTGTTGGCTCTCCATCTAATTAGCGTCACAAAATGCAAAGAAGTTACAAACAAGGATAGGAAATTGAATGTTATCTTGCCTCAATCTTGTCTCTTTTATAAGAGAGGTTTTCATCTTGGTTTTGATGGATGTCGTTGATGAAAAACTTTGACTTTAGCTGATGCATTTGCTAGATTCCTGAATGGCTCCCATGTGCGCTCACTAATATCATATCCGCACCAATGAACAAGATATTCCAGCTTATTTCGGCGCCGCCTTGAGTCTAATATCTCTTCCACCTCAAATTCTTCATTATTATCTACTTCTATAGGAGGCGGTGGCATTTGTCTTCTTCCTTGTATATCCACTGTCTTATATGGTTCAAGAAGAGACACGTGGAATACAGGATGGATCTTCATTGACTCCGGTAGATGTAACCGATATGCAACTGGGTTGATCTGTTCAGAAACAGAAAAGGGGCCAAGCCTACGATAGTCCAATTTGTCACAAGGTCGAGTGGTCTTGATATTGCGACGAAGTAGCCATACCTTATCACCCACGTTGAGTTGTGGTTGCTCTTTACGATATACATCTGCATTTATCTTTTGTCGTTCTTGAGCTTTCTTCAACTGCACCTTCATTATTGCATGTAACTCTGACAACCGATTTGCCATATCTTCTGCTGCAGGATTATCAACTTTTGAAAAATCAAAAGTATCAAGTCGTGGATGATAGCCATAATTGGCAAAGAAAGGTGTTTGTTGCGTGGAAGAATGTACCGTATTATTATAAGCAAACTCTGCCAATGGCAGAAGGGTTGTCCAATCATCTTGTTGGTAGTTGATGGTACACCTTAAATACTGTTCCAAGACTTGGTTTACGCGCTCTGTTTGTCCATCAGTTTGAGGATGGAAAGCTGAAGATAGCTTTATGTCCACTTTTAAAATCTTGAAAAGAGTCCTCCAGAATCTCGACACAAATTGAGTTCCCCTATCCGATATGATATCTTTAGGTAATCCATGATAGCAATAGATATTATCAATGAAAAGCTTAGCTGTTTCTTCACCTGTGATAGATTTTGTACATGGCATAAAATGTGCCATCTTGGTGAAACGATCTACTATCACAAATATAGAATCATAAGATCTTGAGTTTGGAAGATCTGTGATGAAATCCATAGAAACAGAAGACCATGGTTGTTCTGGTATATGTAATGGCTGAAGAAGTCCGTAAGGTCGATGTCGAGGAATTTTTGATCTTGAACAAATATCACATGATTGTACAAAGTCTTTGACTGACTTCCACATTTGTGGCCACCAAAAATCTCTTGATATGAGTTCCAAAGTCTTATTATATCCAAAGTGCCCTGCTGCTGGAAAGTCATGACGTGCTTGAAGAACACGCAAACGTGCTTTTCCTTCTGGAACATATAGGCGTCCTTCAAAATATAATAGATTATTCTTGAACTCGAACTTAGAAGAATCATGAGACTTGGAAGAATTATTCTTGATATCATGAACAAGAGGGTCTGAGGACATACTGGACTGGATTTGCTTGAGAAAAGTTGAATCAACAGTCAGTCTTGATTTCACTGCTCGGAGATGAAATTGCTCCGGTTTCAAGAGGACCGTTCTTTGTTGCTCAAAAGCTGCATCTCCTTCTTTTGGTGCAAAATAAGAACGTCTAGACAGGGCATCGGACAAACCTTGTTGTTTTCCTGGCCGATAAGTGATAATGAAGTCGAATCTTGACAAAGACATACTCCAACGAGCTTGACGACGATTCAACACGCGTGCTGACATGAAATACTCGAGGTTCTTGTGATCTGTATACACAGTGACTGGACTAGAAGCACCTTCTAGATAATGACGCCATTCTTGAAAGGAATCCACGATTGCAAGAAGTTCTTTATCGTGGATCTCATAATTGATCTCGGCTGCTGAGAATTTTCTTGAATGAAAAGCTATCGGATGAAGTTTGTCATCTGTTCCCATTTGTGATAAAACTGCACCCAAGGCAAAATCCGATGCGTCTGTTTCCATAAAAAATGCCTTGGAAAAATCAACACGATATAAGACTGGTGCAGAGACAAACGATGTCTTCAAGGCTTCAAATGCTGCTTCCGCTTCTTGATTCCATTGGAATTTATCTTTACTAGTCAAGCGTGTAAGTGGAGCTGCAACTCGTGAGAAGTCTTTGATGAAGATCCGATAGTAATTGGCAAATCCCAAGAAACATTGGACATCTCTCACAGTCTTTGGAATCTTCCAATCCATGATTGTTTGGACTTTCTTAGAATCCATCATAAGACCATGATTTGAAATGATGTATCCTAAAAAGTCAACTTGAGTAGTGTGAAATACACACTTTTCTATCTTGGCGTACAATCCTGCATCTCTGAGTTTTTGTAATACTTGACGAACATGTATTTCATGTTCTTCAACATTCTTAGAATAAATCAGGATATCGTCTAGGTAGCAGATGACAAAATTGTCTAAGAATTCACGAAATACATCATTCATGAGATGTTGAAAAGCAGCTGGTGCATTCGTGAGTCCAAAAGGCATGACATTATATTCAAAATGCCCGTACCTGGTTCGAAACGCAGTCTTCCATTCATCTCCTTCTTTGATCCGTACTAGATTATATGCTCCTCTTAGATCTATTTTTGTATAGA